AGAAATTTTAAAAAGCATTTTTTTTTAAAGTTTGGACAAAAACGCTTCTCTGTTTCTGATACATTGTTGTGCCATTACTACGTTTTGCTTATTTTTCATTAATATTGATTAATCATGTTTCCTTGGGCCTTTATTATTTATTTTGAATCCGTTGTATTTGTTTAAATATCCTTTTTTATATTAAACTAATGTGATTATTTGTAATGATTTTACAAAAGCAAAGAAAACAATATACCTATTACGTTATCTCATGAATTGAAAAGATTTTGTTTATTTTCTTAACCGTATATAATTAAATAATCACAAAGTTAGTTATTTCTGTCAATAATAGTCGAAAACTTAACAGGTCTATGTACTTATTGTCCTATAGAAACAACTGTCAATGACTTGAATGAACCGCAACAAATTACATGGTGAGACAGACACCCATCAATTTATTTGCATTAACAAACCCTTTATCAATTCTATCATTGCAATTACATTGCATAGTGATATAGCCTATATATTTAATATGCTAAATTTTGAAATGTGTATGTTTGATGTCTTTTTAAGGACAATAAATTGTTATTAAATTTATATTTTTGTTCTTATTTTTGTACACCAACCTCTTTCTACTGTAATGTAGTGTTGTAGTATGCAGCAAAATTCACTAACGTTTTGAATAGCTGCAATAATTCTACAAAAGAGGCCCATATAGCGCTGTTCCTGCTGAAAAATAGAAATATAAAACGTATAAAGCAGTTCCGCTAACACAAAAAGAATTCGCAAACAAACTCAACTTTTCACCGGTCTTTTTGCTTTTGCTTCTAACCAGTGCAAAGACAGTGTAGCAGACCCGCCTTGATATACAGAGTTCAGTTGAAAACATGTTACACAAAAATATTTAAATAATAGTCTATTAAAATAAAGTGCAGGTGTCTAAAGTGCATCTTGGGTCAAAGAAAACAAATTAGAGCGTTGAATATCAAGCAAAATAAGAATTTGCAATGAAGGGGCAATCATCTCCGTCTTCCCAAAGGGAAACGCTAGAGATACTTAGGAATCTCCAAATTGGCAAGCGGGCGACTAATGTCGCAGCACTGTAGGTGAAAACGGACCCAAAGAGAAACGTTCCATCCAGACCAATTATGAGGGTTTACAACCTTTTAAACATACTAAGGGGAGATGATGGTAGGTCAAAACTGCTGCAAGTTAGTCAGACTGATCAAAATCTGCGTCATGGCACTCAATGTGGGGCTATAACGGAAGATAAGGCAACCGATCTACATACAACTGACATGCGCAAGTGCCGCAGGCGCTTTAAAGAGCCGGGATCAACTTGTTGCTGGCTGTGTACTGATTATATTATTCAGTCTGACACGACACTTACATTCATGTGCATGTGCCCCTGAGTAAAGTATTTTTGACACATTTTATATAAAAGTAACTTTGAGATTTAGGCATGAGGGTGAAATTCATCAGCATTGAAAGTGTCAATTAAATTTTGGCTACTACTACTGTTACAGGATGTCCCGAAATTCATGCAACAAAATTTGGTCAGATTCTTAAGACAGATTTAGGGGACCCGTATTTTTTCTTTTTGCCAACTGGCCCCCTTTTTCGGAGTTACAGCCCCATGAAATCTGCCCCTAAGAAGTCTTTTTTATATCTCAAAACCATGTTGCACGAGAATTACTAAATTTGGTACACAGGGGTTTTATGACATGTAGAATCTCACAGTGCTACGCTTTTTGGCGAGAAACCCCCTTAAGACACTTTTTCGTGGGCCCCCTTGTATTTGAACCAGAAAAATTCGGTTGCAAATTTGATTTTTTAAAAATTGTTAGTTAGCTAGAAAGCCATTGAATTTAGAAACTTTTTTGTCTCTTGATATTTGTTTTGTAAAACGCAGTTTTTGAGGAAAATGGCGAATGACGATATGCATTCGATCCCATTTTGACATTTTTCTGGAAAACATTGCTTTTTACGAAAAAATTATAAAGACAAAAAGTTTCTAAATTTAATGGCTTTTTAGTGGACTGATAATTTTTAAGAAATTTAAATATGCGACCAAAGTTTTTTGGTTCCAAAGACAAGGGGGCCCATGAAAAATTGTCTTAAGGGGGTTCTCCGCCAAAAAACGTAGCATCATCAGATTCCACAGGTTATAAAACCCCTGTGTTCCAAATTTAGTGACTCGTACAACAGGGTTCTGAGATATAAAGAAAAGATTATTCTTAGGGACGGACTTCAGGGAGCTGTAACTTCGAAAGAGAGGGACACTTGGAAAAAATAAAAAATACAGGTTCCCTAAATTTGTCTTAAGAATCTGTGACCAAATTTTGTTGCATGAATTTTGGGACACCCTGTATAAGAAAGATATAATAGTTAATCTCAACGAATATATATTTTTAAAGAGAATGCCTTGTTTCTACATTTTTAACTAAATCCAATTTCAATTTAAAAAAATATGTCGTTTGCTTTAATTAATGAATAAAATTATTTGATGGATATATTATCAATCTGCAATGATTGAAAAATTGAGAAACTGTTTCCGGTTTTCAAATTGACAATGTCGAATGTGACATTTTTTGTTGCCTTGTTTATCTACTTTTATCAATTTAAGTGTTAATTGAAGTAAATTAGCAATTAAAATGGCAAATATGAGAAATAATTTATAAAGTTTTAAAAATTTGGGTGCGAATAGACATCCAAATATAGATCAAAAGAGTTCCCACCTCTCAGGAGGGTGCTTCATCCTCTTTTGCTTTAGAAACCACCCCGTTACGTGACCTGGTGCCGTTTTCTGATTTTTATCAAAAACTGTTACTCTGACAAGAAAAGTGAATAGGATCTGAAACATTCAGCATAAAATTCTACATCATTTGTGTCCTATACATTTTTTCCTACATCCAGCCCCAATTTCACAAATGACGTTTGAAATAGGTTAATTCTAGTATAGATAAGACAAATTCCTTAAAATTACGATAGCTTTTGAGATAAATTAATATGGGTGCTTAAAACTAAATGACGGATTTTGGACTACATAACAAAATAAAGCTTTGCCTAATAACTTTGCGATAAATTATATTAATATAATCCTTTTCATTTTTTAATATTTAATGTAAATTGTATCCTTAAAACGTAAAACATATCTTTAAACAAGTTTAGTATGTATAGCATAGTTCGATCTACAGAATTCGGAAGTCCTTCATAATGGTAAAAGAAATATATTATTTGCTCATGCATTCAGTGGATGTGATACTACGTCAGCATTTATTGGCAAAGGAAAAGCACACACTGTAAATTTAATAAATACTAGTAGGGACTTAGACGATGCTTTGCATATATTTAACAATCCATCATCGATCAAACCAGACATTGTATGAGCTGGAGAGAAAGTCACACTAACTTTATACAAGGCACCTCGAATTTTCACATCATTAAATCAATTTAGATTCTTCATTTAACAAATTTGTTGGTCAATCTAATCAAGCAGTGATATTATCAAGACTACCGCCTACATGTGCAGCTTTAGAACAATATTCGTATCGGGTTTTTCAACAAATTCATTAGTGGCGTGGAGAAAATTTGAAGTCTAATGAATGGGGATGGAAAACAATTAGCCAAATTTTGGTGCCAATTCCTACAATTGAGATACCAGCTCCTACTTCTATTCTTCAATATCATGCCGTTGTAAAAAGGGTTGCGGAAAATGATGCAGTTGTGTTAAGGTTACATTGAAGTGTTCAACAATGTGCTCCAATCGCCATGGTCAAGGATGTCTTAATTCAGTGGTAGAGGAAGAATTAATTGAAGATAATTCAATAAATGAATAAACTGCAGTTAGTTTTTAGTGGATTAGGCCTCCAAGAGAAATCACTAACAAAAAAGACTCGCCGGGTGCTCTACCTCAGCGGTGGTGTGGAAACGGGTTCGAATATAAAAGACATAGTACCTAGTAATAATAAAATTTTCTGTAGTCATATTTTTTTGTCCTTATAGCCAGGTTTCTGTAGAAAAATCTGCTATGCATGTAACATGTTTCTATGGCCAATGTATTTCAAGATATTTGTCACTTTACTCGTTTTTGCCTAACTTTAGCAATATATCCTAATTTTTCAAACCACAGTTAACGATAGAAAAAAGTTTATAGCACATAAATCATGTAGAATTTTATGCTGAATATTTTAAGTCCTATTAATTTTCCTTGTTAGAGCAGCAGTTTTTGAGAAAAATTAAAAAAACTGGCGCGAGGTCACATTAGAGAGTGGTTTATGAAGCGCCCTCCGGATAGGTGGGAACTCTGTTGATCTGTATTTGCATGTATGGAAGGAGTTCGCACCCAAATTTTAAAAACTTTTAAATTATTTCTCCAAAAAAAACTAATTTACTTCGACTATGTTATCAATTTGTCTTTATTACAGTATAATTTAAATTTAATAGTACTAATATCACAAAGGCGTAATTGCTAATTGGAATATACTTAGTCAAAATGAATTAAAAGTTTTTATCTAGAAAAAATCTGGTGAAGCAAACATATACCACATTGTTGATATGAGGAACTTAGATTTCAAAATAAAAAAATACATTTTGAGGCCCTTTTACGAGTGTTTAAACCTCTAAGATAGAGACAGTTCTCGAAAATTAATGATCAAGTTTTGATAACGAAATCCATATCTTTATAACAAAAAAAATTAATTCTGCAGAGGATAAAAAAAACCTCTGTGTCTATAAGCTGATTATGAATAAAAATATATTTTGCAATTATATGTCCAACCCGTTTTGAGATCTGAGGGTAGGCCACCCCTACTTTAGTATTTTGAAAATTTAATTCAAAATTTCATCATGAAGCTTCATTTCAAAATATGTCCACTTTTTGGGAGCCGTCGCTGCTCTAAAATGACCCTAGAACTCTTACAAGAAACTTTTTTTATATAATTAATAAAACTGATGAAAAAACAACAAATCACACGTAAAATTCATATATTTTTACACTATGTTATTAAAAATTACTGAAACCGCACCACATAAAAAAATCTAATTTCATAATTAGTCTCTCATTATAAAAATATCAGTTCGTTATTTATATAACATAAGATAAGTAACTACCAAGCCAAGCAGTTACATCAGTCCAATCAGGAAATTCCTTGAGTAAATTTACATAGTATGGTGTCTTAATAAACTTATTTTCATGTACATATGTAGCAGTAACAGCTATATCCATCGTTGATCCATTATAGTTTGGTGGTACCATAATATCAAAAGTAAAACTTAAATCAGCTGGATCTTTCCCATAGGTAAATAGTATGAAATATAATTGCCTATTATTATAGACATATTCTGATGATTCAATAGTATCTATTAGGCTCATCCTTACGAGTTTTGCATGTTTTTTTGGTACTAGGTAAAGGGCTAGTCTATCTGAACCTGTAACATAACAAAGGATAAAAAAATATACATGTGAAGAAGAATAATTCTTACCGGAAGTCGTTATATTATATCTAATAATAGTTTCGTTGATATGTTCTTTAGAATTCAACTTAAACGAAACTGGCTCATGTATTACAGGCTGATTAGCTGGAATCCATGTACTATGTTCCCTAAAAAAAATCATTTTCATTAATAAAATATATTATACCATTTTTGTATGACTGGACAAATATATTAATAGGTGAACAAAGGTGTAATTTCCTGACTAGAAATCAAAGTTATTTCCGGCCACTTATTTCTTTGTATGTAAATTTACGCAAGATTTTCATTTTGTACCATTTGTGCAGCAGTGTTGCTAAAAAAAAAGGACAGTGTGACAGTTAGGGAAATGCAGCGTTACACGAAAGAATAAATGCGTTTTCATTATTGAGCAATATTTTACAATGATTTGACAGCTTTAGTTCGCAATTTTCATACAAAATTGGGTCAGAATCGTAAAGAGATTAATTGAAAAATTCAGGGAGACTGGATCGATTAGTCACCGTAAATATTCTGGCCGTCCTTCAACACATCACAGCAGTTCATGAGAGCGTTGCTGAGCATCCAGGAACATCAATTCAGCACCCTGGTCAAAAATTGGACATTTCGAGAAGCTCTTTACAGCGTATTCTCACGAAAGATTTACGACTTTATGCTTACAAAGTTCAGTTGTCATAAAAACCGAAACCTAGTGACCAAGCAGAGCGGAGAGTGTTCCTTGAATGGATTATTATGGAACAAGTGGATGCTGATTTTTCGAACAAAACAATATTTAGCGATGAGGCTCATTTTCCTCTTGATGGCTTTATTAACCAACAAATTTGTCGCATTTGTCAGAAAATCCACGAGTGATTGTTGATAAACAAATGTTTACACGTGTCACTGTTTGGTGCGGATTTTGGTCTGGAAACATCATTACACCTTTCTTCTTCGAAAATGTGGTTGGTTAGGCAATAACAGTTAATGGTGCTCTCTTTTGCGACATGATAATCCAGTTTTTTGTGCCTAAATTGAAAGATATGGCTGTAGATGACATGTGGTTTCAACAAGACAGTGCCATACATACAGCCACAGCCCGAGAAACAATTCAATTACTGCCTCAGTCTTTTACTGGTCTGTAATTTCCCATTTTGGTGATCAGAATTGGTTGCCAGATCATGCCATTTAACACTTGGATTTTTTTCTTTGGAGTTTTTTGAAGTCTACAGTTAATGTCAAAAACCATCCATGCCTTGAAGGAGGAAACTGAGTGGAGTATCAACAAAATTCAGCTGCGTTTATGCAAAATGGTCATGAGAAATTCCGACAAAAGAGTGCATACGTGCCAGCAAGGCCGTGGAGGCTATTTACCTGATGTGCTATTCCATACATAACCCCATACTTTATGAATCGATACAAAATTTATACAATTTTTAATTCAAAACTAGTGTTTTCTATCAAAATTACTTCTTGCGTAAATTTTGAGACACCCTTTATTTATTTCCTATTTGATAAGGACATTTTGTAATTTTTTTCTATAATCTAGAACGGATTCAAGAAATGTTTTGATTTAATTTGCACTGAAACGAAAAGTAACAAACACAATAGATAGAGCTTGGAGATTTAACAGTTACATGATAAAAAAGTGATTGTGCACATATCAAAATTATTAAAAGTATATCTAATGTTTTAAAAATATATAGGGTGTGGCGTGTATGATCTATAAAAATTAAACTACAGCTTCCTGATGATATTTGTAATAGATATATTTGTCTTATATGAAAAAGTTCTATCTTTGCATTTTTTTTTTTGTAAATTGAAGTTCATTTATTCAAGACAGAAAATGAAGGGCGACCCTGTTATCTATTAAAAACTTTGGAAATGTTTTTATGCGGCCCGAGATGCAACCTTATAATTTAAGTCTGTATAATCTAATAGTAATACTAAAAGAAGGTTAGGTTACATTATCAAAAAATTTGTGCAGTCAACTGATTTTGTATTTGTATTGAATTCATTATTCACTTAATTATTAAATATTAAGCATCATCCATTGACCCATCAATGTTAAAAAGTGAAAGATTCCAGACAAAAGTTTTTATTTTGTAATTCCACGATAGTGACTAATTTTTATAAAGTAAAAAATAAGAATAGCATGCCGATTACATTAAAAACCAGATTCTTAATTCTTACTTTGCTTAATTTTTTAGTTTGTGCACAAACTAGTTTTACAATGATCCGCGAAAACAATGCATTTACTATTTCCGAACGTGTCGATATGGTGTTAGTGTATGGTGTAGCCGGAGAAAATTAGCTCGCGGCGACTAGGTTGTACCGGGAGTGATGGCCACAACGTCACCCCCCATGTGCAAATACAATCTTACAGTGCGTTCAGCGGCTGCAAGATACGGGAAGTGTTATTCTTCGAGGAGAAAGACGGTGGTCAGCAAGTGAACCTTAATGCTGAAGATGCAGTGTTGGAAAATCTTAACGAAGACCCCACAATTAGTACTCGACGACTCGCACAGCAAGTAGGAACCTCATCTCGTATCAAATATCGCAAGGCGCCAGCTGTTGCACCCCTATCCTGCTTATGTTTGTGTAACAGATGAGGCGACTTTACCCGTGATGAAGTGAATTTCCATAATATGCACATATAGGCCGATGAAAATTCTCACGTGATTAGGAAAACTCATTTTCGACATCGGTTGACTTTTTGGAGAACCGGTTGCCCGAATTATTGGACGATGTGGCATTACAAGTTCGGGCATGCATGTTTTATCTTCAAGATGGGGCTTCTCCACACACTAGGTAAGGATACTTTTGAATGAAATGTTTCCTCAGCGGTGGATTGGACGGTTTGGTCCTGTGCCGTGGCCATCTCGGTCACCCGATCTAACTCCAATGGTTCTTTGGAGTCACTTGAAGTCATTGGTTTACAATACTCCAATTGCTACAGTGGAAGAATTGCGAAACCGTATACTTGAAGCTGCTGACACAGGTAGAAGAATACGTGGAATTAGGGAAAATATTTGCCAAAATTGGGTGCGTCGGTGACATGCCTGTACACGCACTAATGGGGATCAATTTCAACATTTTCTCTAGAAATGGTAAGTTTTATTTCATATTAGTGTACGCAGTTGCCAACTACAGATGCTTACGGATATGTTTTGTTTGCGAACTCTTGCAGTAACAACAATGCATTTAAGATAGTAATTACTATTATTATAATAAAAAAATTTTAGTCTTTTTTTTTAATATCTATTTTTCTTAGTTTGCATTAAAAAATTCCCCAAAAATTGAGAAGTATCTTTCTATCTTTCAACGACGATTTGTTTATGCGGCTGGTCTACAGCACGTAACTCATCGTACAGCACACGGACAGGACTGTTCCAGAGAAAATATTTTTATTCATAATTGAACTTTAATTTACGAAAAAAAAACGCAAAATAGAACTTTTTTGTATAAGACTTTTCTATTGCAAATATCGTTAGGAAGCTGTAGTTTAATTTTTATAGATTATACTCGCTACACCCTGTATAGAAGACATTTTTTAATTTGAAGATTTCCTTTTAATATAATGTGCAAATCAACAAAATAAGCACATTTTTGAGGTAAAACTTTTTCAAAATATTTAAAATAATGAAAAAAGTTTGAAATAATTTGAATACATTCCTGTGAAAAGCCCTATAAATATTGAAATCTTTTATTAAAAACTTATCTAAATCGGTTTATTTCCCCCCACAGAAGCTAAGAAGTGAAATATGGTTCTCTCACTTCTGGACACCCTATATACCATTGAAGTGAAAAGAAAGAGTGGAAGAATTATGTGAACTTGTAGAAAAGTACCATGGAAATAATTCAGAGAAGACGTTGTGTATGTCGCGTGAAAGCTTGTGTGAACAAATCCAGTTCCAACAATTTTGAACATGTTTAAGCAGATCTGGATTTTATAAATTCATGTCTATTAATTTTTTAATTAAAGTATATCAATGTTTTTGAATTATTTTTAAATTTGATTTGAAATATAATTTTATGCAACTTAAATATTATCAAAAAATGCATTTGCTGCCTAAATATATATTTGTTAAAGTACTTACACAATTTGAGTCATCTTTGAATGTGATACTGGCAAACCACATAAAAGATATTTTTTACAATTCTCTTCAAGAAGTCTTGCATATTTGAGATCTTTTACATAATTTTTAATAATTGTAGGGGAATTTCTATCGAGGTTTAAAAAGAAGATTCCAGCATCAGTCTTCTCAACAGTCCCATTTTCATTATGAAATACTCTTTTAGTGTGCTAGAAAATATGTTTAAATGAATTGTATTAGTTAGACCACAATGAAATACTACAAAACATATTACTTGATTGGAATTATAACTAGAGCTTGATTCTTCGGTGCATAAATAAGGCAGAAATATGGAGAGACAAAGCAATGAAATGAATGATTTCATTGCTCCGTAACTCATTTCATTTCAATAGTGTATTTATTTCCTTGCATCAGTGTAAAAGACATACTGAAACGCAAATGCATAAAGTAAATGAAGTATAACAGCTGCCATACAGGATATTTTTATATGGTCTAATTTTTATGTCCAGTATGTGAAATATACTGAAGTATCTGGATGATTATAAGAAATTTTGGCACAGATATGTACATACCTAAGTTCACCGCATAAAAAAGAATGTGAGTAGGTAGTCTATAATTAATTCCGACAATAAATCTTGAACTACTTAAGAGTATTATGCCCAATTTATGTAATAGAAAGAACAAAAATAATATTTTAATTATTGAATTACATATATTATACATAAGAATCCTAATATTGTAGCATCTTTAACGATTTTTTTGTTAATCTCTCTTTAAAAATAATCAATTAGATACCAACAGTGAGTAATCTACCCTACTACTTATATTGTTCATCAATGATTTAGAACAACATATAACTGTCGATACCACTTTGATTCTTTACGCAGATGACAGTACAACATGTATTAGTGCCTCATCTGCTGACGAGCTTCAAGCGAAAGTAAACGCCACACTTGAACAATTTTATACGTGGTGTACTAAAAATAATCTGATTATCAATCCAACAAAATCTCATTACATTACATTCATTAAAAGACGAATATGCCCTAATGTGTCATTAAATAATACAGTGATTGAAAAAGTACAACATACAAAATTCTTAGGACTTCTCATTGACGAGCAGCTTACTTGGTCGGCTCATATTGAACAATTTTCAATAAATTACCCCATACATTAAAAATCATACAAATATTAGGCTATTCAAAAAAGAGTTATGTTCTTTCCTTGTCGGCAACTGTTTTTATTCGTTATAGGAATTTTATGATTTTCCTGTATCGAGGTAAATTGTTCGTTTTTTATGTGTATATATGTATTCTACTTCTCCTTCTACTTCTAGTGGTTGATCCTAATAAGTCCCATAGCACTGCGGCCTGATTAGGCCTATTGTACGTCCCACTACTAGTCCTATTCAGCAAGTAGATTTGTCTCTTTTACAAAGTTCAAATGCTTCCTTGCTGACACTTCTCTCAGTTCCTTGGGTTCCAAGTAGGGTCTCCCAAGGAGCGCCATTCTACTACGTGCAAATCCCGAGCACTCGCCCAGGATATGCGGAGAAGTTTCATCCGCCGATTCACATCCTCGGCAGACCGGACTGTCTACAAGCTTTAGCTTATGTAGATGTTTCCTAAAGTGACAGTGTCCCGTTATGAGTCCTGTCACTCTCCTGAGCCGGATTCTATTCAAGCTCAGTAGCTCATTCGCTCTTCCCTTCGAAGGATACTCCATAAGCTCCTTAGAATGGCTATGTCCTGGCCTTGAAGTCCAGTATTTCCTATGTTCTGTCTCTGTCCATTTGCCCAGAGCCCGCCTGACCACACTGGGAGATGTGCCACAGAAGGGCTCCGGGCCAATGAACACTGTCTCGGATCCCTTCCTAGCAAGTTCATCCGCTTTCTCATTTCCACAAATGCCTTTGTGCCCTGGCACCCAACACAGTCTGACTGTATTGTTGGTGGCCAGTTCAGTCAGCATTTGTAAACAATCCCACACCAGTTTTGAACTTATCTTGTGTGCGCCCAAAGCTTTAATTGCAGCTTGACTATCAGAGAATATATATATGAGTTTACGTTTATAACCTCTACGTACATTCTCTGCCAGATACGCTATTATCGCGAAAATTTCTGATTGGAATACAGTAGGGAACTCTCCCAGACTGTAGCTTGCACTCCATCTGGGTCTGACTCCATATATTCCTGCACCTGTCCCTCTGGTCATTTTGGAGCCATCTGTAAACCATACTAGGCTCCACCTCTCCAGTGTATTAAACTTTTCCTCCCATTTGCTTTGATCTATTCTCTTATATCTATTCGAGTCTCAAAAGGCTTGTGGAAGTGAAACTTTGGAACCATCTTGTCAGATACCATCCCAAAAGTTGGTTCCGACATAGATGTGTCTATAATCCTAGAATAGGAACTACCTCTCCAGTCGTTATTCCTGAGTCGATATGCTGCTAGCCGCACTTCTCTCTCCACCACTATATGTAGCGGTGGTAGATTTAGCATGACTTCTAGTGCGGCTGTCGGGGTCGATGCCATCACCCCCGTTATACCTAAACAGGCCAATCTCTGAATTCTATTCAGTTTTTCCCTCGCTGTGGTCTGTTGTGTTTTTTGCCACCGTACCACAGCGCCGTAAAGAATCCTAGGTCTTACTATCGACGTATACAACCAGTATGACATCTTTGGTTTCAGTCCCCAGGTGCTCCCAATAAGGCGATGGCATACACACAATGTCTGCTTCGCCTTACTCACCATTTTTTCCAAGTGTGCATTCCAGGTAACCTTATTATCCAGTATCACTCCTAGATATTTTACCTCCCTGGAAAGCCTAATGCTCCTCTCCCCTATTATAGGTTCAGAGAGTCCAATTAAATTCCTTCTCCTGGTGAAGGGTACTATGACCATTTTGTCAGGGTTTACTGACAGTGCCTGCCCCTTACACCAATCATCTATCCATTTCAAAGCCTCTTTCATGAGTTCTGAAACAACAATATTATGTTTCCCGACTATGAGAACGACTAAGTCGTCCGCATAGTCTTGTGTATAAAATCCCTTTCGATTAAGGCCCTCCAGTGCGCCGTCCCATAACAAGGGAGACAGTACGCCTCCCTGGGGGCAGCTCCAGCCTACCTTACACTTGGATGTCTCTCCCGAAAGGGTAGCTGTTACTGTCCGGTTTCTCAACATGGTATCATATATATGTATAGTTCTGTATTCTTTTTTTCTAACTTTGGTTTGTCTTATGTATGTTAGAATAATTTATGACGTTTCATATCCTGTGACAGGCTTACATGAATAAAGATTTATTATTATTATTATTATTATTATATGGCCAGACTTAAGAGGGTCAAAGTTGGCCATTATCCCACATGCAATGCTTAAACGAAAATTTGCATATAAGAAAATTGAAAGTAGTATGGTGCAGCAAAGTTATGGATAACTGTAGACACAGGCCTGCCGTAAGCGAGTGTGCAAGGCATGCACCGCACGCGGGCGGCAGATCCACGAGGGCTGCAAATCGAGCGATCACATAATATTCAAAGTAATTGTCATAATATCCATGCCACCTATAGCATTAGAAATGTCATCGCATGGGGCAGAAATTCCAACCGGCAGGCAATTACTATTTTTCTTTTATATTATAGTGTTAACAGCGTCATCTATTGGCATCCATCAGAACTAAGATGTGATCCGAAACGTCTGTCGGTAGATTTTATATTGTTTGTAGCTGTTTTTTCTCCACTATTTGAAATCATTAACTGCGTTACAGCATGAAATGCTAGCATTTTACTAGGCAATCTTTTGAATAAACCAATAGAAATCAGAAATCAAACTTCATTCTAGGTTTGCTAAAAGAGTACAGAGATCTAGCAAAAGAGTGGAGGGTAACAACTGTTTTCAAAATTAAAAGACGGAAGTTAACGAAATTCTATTTTGATGAGTTATCAGGAGATGAGAAAATTTCAAACCCAGAATCGTATTCAAAGTCAATGTGCTCTCAATTGCTGTATAGATATATTAATTTCTCAAACTAAACAAAGATTTCACAGCCTCTATAATCTAAGTAATATGTTTGAAGCCTTACAACCGGAAAAATTCTTATTCTTTTCAAACGACGTAATCAAAAAGGAATTCAGAAAACTGACTAATAAATATAATAAAGACATGTCAGCTGATCTCTATGAACAACGAATTCTTCTTTCAACTCTAATGAATTTTTTCCGAGTAACTACTTAGTTTACCGTACGGACCGCAATTATGTTCAGACACAGTGCTCAAGGGGAGGCGGTGCGCTCGTAGCTGTGGACGGGCTATTTTCCTCTTCCCAAGTCAGTATGGATAATTACGATTAGTTAAGTAGGTTAAAGGTTGATGTCGTTATTGTTAAAGTATTTAGTCAATCGTCATCTTTAACTGTCGTGAATGTATATACAGGGTGTCTCATAATTAGCTGCCAACCCTGAACAGGCCGATTCTATGATTAAAACTAAGTAAAAAAGTTCATATGAACATGGGTCCGGAAATGCTTCCTAAGGGCACAGGGACCCATTGAAGAGGGAGGAATGGAAATCATTTTTTTGCAATATCTCTCAATCGCGTTGTGATAAATGAATGAAATTTGGTATACACAGCTAAATTTT